ATACCTGTCAGCAAGCACGTACTGAAACAAGACAGACGCACACAAAAATCCCCCCAGAAGCAGAGAGTTAAAGAAACCCCTCTGACAACCCAGTTCCTGTTTCTCTGTCCCCTTCCCCCTCCCAGAGCCCAGCTGGGGGGGCAGACACCCACAACACCTCCCCGCAAAGCCCAACCGCAGGGTCCCCCGGCCCAGATACTGGCACCCCTTCTCCCGCAGAACCCAGCCGCAAGCCCCCTCGGCCCAGGTACCCTCCCCCCCCAGAGCCCAGCCAGGGGGCCAGACACTCACAACACTTCCCTCCCCAGAGGCCAGCTGCAGGGCCCTCCTTGCTCAGATACCTGCACCCCTCCGAGCCCAGCCGTGCTCCCCCCCCCCCCCCCCAGGCACCTGCCCTCCTCCTCCCAAGAACTCAGCCACAGGCCTCGACCCCCCTTGCCCAGACACTCACCCCCCTCCGCCCCAAAGCCCAGAGGGAGAAACAGCCTGATGTTCAGTCCCAGGTTTGCATGGAGTTTCCTGCACACCATGGTCTCCTTCCCCCAAGGCATGCTGGGAACTGCAGCTTCCAGGAGCCCTCCAGCTCCCTCCCCTTCCCCCCAGCAGTGTCCTCTATGTACGAGCTGGGCTCTGTGGGTCCAGCAGCCCCTAGTGGCGGCCTGAAGCCCTGCAGCCCATTTCTGTGGGGAAAGGAAATTCTGCGCACACGTTAATTTCTGCAAAATCGACTCCTGGGGGAATTCTCTGCTAGTTATCCCAGCATTACTGCGCATGCACATAATTAATAAGCCGTGCATATTTTAAATTTTTTATGCAGAAAAAAAGCTTCTACCGAAACGTTACTGCAGTTCCACCTTTGGCCCACCAGAGGGTGCTGTGGCACAAGAACAACAAGCTCCCAGCAGACAGTAACTTCTGCAGTTCCACCTTTGGCCCACCAGAGGGCGCTGTGGCGATAGAACACAGCAGCAGCTCCCGGCCAGCGAGGGAAGAGAAAGAGCCGGCCTTCTTTGCAGCAGGCCAGGTCAGGAGACAGGGGCTATGGGGGGGGGCAGACAGGGGCTCATAGGGGCTAGTGAGGGAGGACAGACTGGGGCAGAGGCTGAATGGAAGTGGAGGCACAGGGACACATGGTAATGGGGGAGCGGGTACAGGGACACATAGGGACAGGAGGTGGCTGAGTGGGGGCACACAGACACATGGAGCTGGGGAGGGAGTACAGGGACACATAGGGGCTGGGTGGTGGCTGAGTGGGGGCACACAGACACATGAGGGAGGGAGTACAGGGACACACAAGTGACAGGGGAAGGGGGTGCAGAACCACATGGGGATGGGGGGAGTGGGTGTCTGAGTGGGGGTGGAGGGAAACGTGGACAGGGGGTGCAAGGACACATGGGCGTGGCAGGGACAGGGGCAGACGTGCCTGACTGAATGGGAGAGGCTAGGGGTCAGCCAGGGTCCGCATGGGGGAAGCTCCCTAACAATCCCCCCCACCAAAACCTGTTCCAGACTTTTCCCACCCACACCCAACAACCCTCCAAGTTCACACCCAGGCTCCTTCCCTCTCCCTCAGCTCCTCCGTTACCCCTGACTCCCCCCAGCCTTTGCCCTGCTTCTGAGGGGGCGGGAAATCCAGTTCCGTATGGTAGTTTACATGAATTATTACGGGGTTAATATGCCTAGTAAGGAATCTACTTGTCAAAAGAGATTTTCTGAATCTTTTTTGTTGTCTGTATTGTTTCAGACGTACTGGCTGACAGAATTTTAAAATAAATGACCAAAAATAATTGAAACTGGTGTGATTACATGGTGTTATTTTGACAAATACAATATGCAGAATTTTAAGCTATTGTGCACAGAATTTTAAATTTTTGGTGCAGAATTCCCCCAGGAGTAAAAATTCTGCATTGCGCAGTGGCACAGAATTCACCTAGGAGTACCCCCTGCACCGCTCCAGCCCCTCATCTCCACAACGCCCCCGGCCTGCGCGCACAGCTCCCCCCACGCACAGCCCACAGCGCGCGGCCTGCCAGCCGGTACCTCCTTGGGGATGAAGCTGGAGCCCAGCGTGACGGCCGACCAGAAGGCGATGCCCAGGCAGAGCAGCCGCTTCCGGTGGTAGCGGTCGCCCAGGTACCCGAAGATCGGGGCCAGCACCATGTAGCTGCTGATGAACACTGCGGGGGTGGGGGTGGGGGGGGTTAGAACTGGTGTACTGCGCGGGGCACAGCCCCTCCCCACCGGAGAAGACACTGCTCCAGCCCCCAGAGGGTGTCACCCCACACACCCGGTGCGTCCCTTCCCCCATCACTATGGGATCCCCTCCCTCCCTCCCCCTGCCCCCATACCTGTCTGGAGGAGCCCGGAGCTGCTGTCTCCAATGCGAAAGAACGACTCAATGTCGGGCAGGATGCCTGGGGAAAGGGGGGGTGGAGGGGTATTAAAAAGTGGGGAGAGCCCCCCATGGACCCTGCAACCCCCCACCTCTGCCAACCCCTAGCCCACCTCCCACGGCAGATCTCCACACCCCATGCAGTCCCCCCAACCTCTGCTGGCCCCAAACCCCCACTGCTCACACAACCCTCTCCATCATGCAGCCCCGACCCCCCACAGCTCCCACCCCGTCCCCCAATACCCCCCACAACCTTCCCACGCACACACTGGGCTGCCGCCGCCCCCCCCAGCCCTCACCGGCCACTGTGAAGCGGTCCATGTAGTTGAGCAGGTTGATGTAGCAGAGAACGGCGACGATCATCACCGAGCGGGGGTATGAGATCCCGGTGACGGCCTGCACCCCCACTTCCGGCTGCCCCCCACCCGCCCGCGACCCCCCCTCCGCCGCCTCCTCCTCCGTCTCGTCCGCCTGGCTCAGGAATGGGGCAGCGTCGGGGTGGGGGCCGTGCCGGGTCACCATGGCCGGGAGTTGTGCAGCTCGCCTCACGGGGAGCCCGGCTCCGGAGCGGGGCCTGTGGAGGGCAGAGAGAGGGAGGTTAGTTACCCCAGTACTACAGCTTCCCCTGCCAGTCACAACCTCCCATCCCCACATATCCCCAGCCCCACGACCTCCCATCCCCACATAACCCTGCCCCATCACCTTCCCAACCCCCAATAGCCCCGCCCCATGATATCCCATCCCCACATAACCCTGCCCCTATCACCTTCCCAACCCCCAATAGCCCCGTCCCATGACCTCCCATCCCCACATAACCCTGCCCCTATCACCTTCCCAACCCCCAATAGCCCCGTCCCATGATATCCCATCCCCACATATCCCTACCCCCATGAACACCCATCCCAAGAGCCCCATCCCATGATCTCCCATCCAAGCAATAGCCATCCCCCCATGACCTCCCATCCCCCCAAGAGCCCAGCCCACCATAACCCCAACCCCGCAGCTCCCCCCGATCCCCTGTAACCCCAACCCCACAGCTCCCCCCGCGGATCCCCCGCCCCTATAACTCCACGGATCCCCCGCCCCCATAACCCCAACCTCGCAGCTCCCCATCCCCTCGCCCCTCGTAACCCCACAGCTCCCCCCACCGATCCCCCTGCCCCCATAGTTCTCCCTGCGGATCCCCCGCCCCCATAACCCCAACCTCGCAGCTCCCCCATCCCCTCGCCCCTCGTAACCCCACAGCTCCCCCCGCCCCCATAGTTCTCCCTGCAGCTCCCCCGCCCCGTAACCCCAACCCCACAGCTCCCCCCGCCATGACCCCATTACCGAGGCGGGGCACGCTGCTCCCTGCTTCGATCATGTGACCCCCCCGGCGCGTCACCTGACCCATCGCGAGTCCCGCCCCTTCCGGGACGTCACCGCGGACCCCTAGCCACGGTAACCATGGTAACGGGGAACCCCCCGCGGCACCATGGTAACCAGCCGCGCCCCCCCCCCGCTGATTTCCAGCGGAGACAGAACCATGGCAACCACCAGGACAACCCCCCTCCCCCAGCAACCCCTGTCGCCGTCACCATGGCAACCACCGGGACCGGCTTCGTGCGCAGGCGCTGAGCCCAGGCCCCGGGGAGCTGCTGCTCGGCCAGGCGGGGGGCACTCGGGGGAGCCGGGCCAGGGCGGGGCGGGGGGAGCCGGGCTCGGCTCGCCGGAAGCGGGAGCGGGGGCTGGGGGAAGGAAGGGGGCGGGGTGGGGGGCTCGAGGCGGGGGGTGCTCTCCCCAGCGGGCAGGGCTGGGCCCGGGGGGGGGGCTGGGGGGGGTGGGGGGGGGG